CTCACAGAGTTTCTCAGTTTAGGGCCTGCAGAGCACCTCTCCTAGGAGAAGGCTCTTGGGGAGTGATCAGAGAAAGAGTTGGTTTTGTTTTCAAATAACCTTAGAAACCATGTAATTATAATATATACCCTTTAGAATTTGAAGAAGCACATTAGCCATTCAAGGCTTGGCACAGCTCTACTATAAAGAAATTTACTGAATTTTAATAATGCAGAATGTATGAAATGTGAATTGATATGAAATATTTTTCTACATAATACATAATAATATTCCAAGATTCTAGAGTCCCACAGAGAATCATTGTTATTTAGAGGAAACAGGGAATTGGGTGCTTACCTCAACCAAATGATCATTATAACTGGCCAACTTCTTCCCTTCATAAGATCCCAAATTCCTCCTTAGACTAACAGCATGAAAGGTGAGATTCTTCATTTATAAGTAAAACCACTGACATTAACATCCCCTTCAAAAATTAAGACCAATATTTGGAACCTCCTTTTTAAATCCTACAATTTACCATTTTTTACACATATGCCTATACTTTGCCATGAATAATAATAATCAGATAAAAATATATTTATGGATTTAGTGACAGGTGAATCACAGAGACTCAAAATGGAAATAAATCAGCAAATGACTATTACTGTCGTTAGCTCTAGGCTAGTGAATTAAGTAACACAAGAGTTTTCTGCTTTCAAGGACTTTTGCCTTTTTGATTTCTTAATTTGAGAAACTTGTGATCTGCAAGGTAGAAGTAAGGATAAAATAGCACAAATTAAAATAATAATTAACATGCCTTTATGCAAACATAAACATGAGTTCTCTTCAGAAAGGTCACCAACAGTAATAAACCCCCCTGGTCCAGACCCACCGAAAGTGGGGAATGGAGAAGTCCATCCCATCTTGAAGAGTGTTCTTCTATTGCTACCTGACCAGATGCATTCCTTCTATGATAATAAATATAATCCAGAAAATCTAATTTAAAAATTCAAGAAAGTATACAACATGCCTAAAGATCAATTAAGTTGAAAACTTAGAATAAGAAAATTATAACACAAAATAAATGAAGATAAGAAAAATTGGTGAAACTAAGACAGAGTGATACAGACTCCTGTAGAATCCAATGGGACAAAAACAATGAGTCTGGGCATAGAGAGTTTTATAGAATCTGACCACATTTTTGCACAAGAATTTAAGTCTCATTTCTTAGTAGTTCATGTCTGTTCCTTTAATAAGGTAATGTCCAATTAATTATGTGCATAGTAATTATGTGTTTAAGATTATCTGGCAAAGAGACTTACCTATTCCCTTATGAACAGAATGAAATTCCAAGGGTGTGACTTTACTTCTAGGAAAATATGCAGGCTGCCAGAAATTAAGAGATGTGCTATTGGAACACCGAGACACTGAGTGTGCTCACAAAACCATATGGTGAATCTAAGCAGAAATGACAAGGGCCAACCATTCTAGGTCACATTTAGGAAATAAATTCATGAATAATATAGAAGCAAAGATGTGTGGGGCTCTAAATTATCCCCCTTAAGTCATGGAACCCCAGATATCTCTAAGGATATCATGGAAAATATTTTCACTTTAAAGGAAGTGAATGGGAACTAGTTACCGTGAGATAGTATGAACCTGCAGGGTGATCTGGAGATAGGACATGCCAGCATGAGGCCAGGGTCTCTGTGAGATTGCTCACCACAAATCCGAGTTCCTCATGAAAATATTAGATTGTATAATTCTGAGCAGAAAATATTGAATTTCTTAAAATGGAACATGAAATAAATAATAGAAAGAGTTGAAGAGAATAAACCATGAGTAGAAGGGATGGAGAATAAAAGATAAAGCAGAGATAAAGAATTACTCACCAAGCAAAGGCTAGGATTAAGACAATTCCCATATTGTAAGTAAGTTCTAAGATAGCACATAGCAGGAGTAAACTATAGTTCTTTACTATCCCAGGAGGCTTTCATTTTCCACTCCTGAGCCAGAAGAAAAAATTCCTGGGCTATCTTGCTCTTCCTTATTGCACTAACACCATATCAGAGAATTTGCACAATGAAATTGGAACAGGAAAAAGATTTGAGTGACTTTAGATGGACATTGGTAATAATGAAAATAAAAGCTAGAAAATAGTTTGGAATCCTTAATAAAAGCCTAATTGTTTGGTTAAACTAAGAAGAGTTATAATAATTTAGTCCATGGCCAAAAGTGCAATCATCTGGGCATGGTGGCATGCACCTGTAATTCCAGTGCTCCAGAGACTGAGACAGGAGGATCACAAGTTCAAGGCCATCCTCACCCATTCAGCCAGGCCTTAAGTAACTTAGTAATACCCTGTCTCAGAATTAAAAACATTTTAAAAGGTTGGGATGTATTTCAGTGGTAAAGCACCCCTGGGTTAAATCTGCAGCAAAAGGTCAATCAAATTTTCCAAATTAGATAAATACAGGGGTATAACACTAGGGAGAGGGAGCAGTTTACAGTGGGAATAGGAAACTTCTTAGGTAATCAAACTAATTTATTTGTTTGTCAAGTAAATCTGAGGCATTGGAGAGAATTTTCAGAAATCAGGATCTGTGTGGTGTGGGTACATTTCCATCACTCATAGGAAAATTACTACTTGATTCTGAGAAGAAAGTTTAAAAGCTAATGGTTTAGTCTGGGAGATTTCTACCATGTTATGAAATTTAGGCAGTGGTGAAAGTTAAGTGCCAATGGTACACTCTATCTTTTAGGAATCTGTACCTAGAATACAGATAAGGTTTAGTTTTAGGATGCACTCCCTTGTAGCAAACACTGAATTGCATTATGAGCTCTTCCTTCCATGCCTAAAATTAAGCATGTGCTGTCACTAAGTATTGTCATTGAGTGTTGGGTTGACTTCATAAGCACCAACTGACTGGCACCAAGCATGGAATGTCTGTTAAGCTTCCTTGTTTTACAAATATAGGCACTGAATCCAAAAAGCATAAAATATCTGCCTGGTGTTTTCTTGGAAAGTTGATGGTGGAGCTGAGACTAAACCCCAGATATTTCAACTAGTGTCCAGTGCTTTTTACAAAACCAGCGGAAGTTGGGCAGCAGTCATCTGTGAAATAACTAGACCAACAGGAAAACAGTGGCTTACAAAATCCTATGGTCTTTTGGAACATATGAGAGGTATACTTTCCTTCTGTGCTGTAAAGTGTTTGTGATTTTTATAAATAAAACCCTATTTTAAATGCCCTAGGATAAGTTGGCAATTTTAAGGGCCTTACAAAGCCAGGTCATATTTGATGATGCTTAGTTCAGGCTGAGGCTGACTAACTGATTGGTCATTTGACTGATGGAAAGTTAACTTCTTTATACTACATTTCAAATTGTCAGATTTGCTTGAAGCAAACACACCTGTCTATGATTCTTGCTTAGACCAAAAGCCAACCTCATTTGCATCTTGAAGCACTTAGGAGGAACAGGAAGAACCAAAACTTGAAATTTGCCAAGGGCAACACATACAAATAATTGGAAGTTAGCTATTTGAGAACACGGATGTGAATATCCAGCTTTTAGAGCCAGATTCCACTGTTTTCCAAGCCCAGATCCCTTAAAATCTCAAGTATCTAAAAGACTGGACTTTTTCTGACACAGAGTAACCACCACCCTTCATATTAATCTCATTTGTCAACCTGATCACACCCTGGGAGTGTCCTTCTGATTTCCTTCTTGTAACCACACAGGACCCTGTTAGGGGAAACTGAATTAGAGCCTCCTGCATTTCACCTTGTTCAGGCCCCAAATCTGCAGAAATCAAGACACTTACTTCTGTTTATAAGTATGCTAATGCCTTGGGGACATTCAGGTAAGCATTTATCTGCAAAGTTACAATAAAGATATTATATTGAAAAAGTTGAGGTGTTGGTAATATGCCACTTCCATCATGTTATTCTACTGCTTGAAAGTCTTTATGACCTAGAATACAGTCAGACTATGGAAGTGACATTAAGGCCTTCCACAGGCTGATGTCACCTCTCTTTTCTACTTCATAGTATGTTCAGAAGCTGGTGAATTAGCTAGCCTGGCTAATTCACCAGCTTCTGAACATTCCTGTACTTTCCCCAGGTGCACACATTTCCTCCCTAGCCTGCCATGCACTGGAGTTCATCACCCTGCATCCAGATGCTACCTTCCATGACCCAGCTCAAATGCCCCTTCCTACCTGAAGTCTCTTAACTACCTAATTAGCAGAATTTCATGCTTTTTTTTCCACCTCCACAAGAACAAAGCCACATTTTTTTCTGTTAAATACTTCCACACAGATTAGTATCCATTCTTAATAAATATTTGTTAATTGATTGATTCAAAAAAAAAATTTTACTTTTGCAAAGGACTTGAAAGTAAGGTGTTCATCTATAGCTGGCAGTACATCCACACAGTGGAAACTTCAGAGCATCTAGTATGCTGTCATTGGATTCATTTCTTTTCACCAATCTAGGACTTTCAACTCTTAGTCACCTTTGGAGAGACCCTAGGAAGGGCACACTAGAGTCAGCTCAGAGATCACATTCCTGGATTCCCAACTCATAGTCCAGATCTGCTACCGAATCAGATTCAGGCAAGTGTGAACTGGAGAAATGAACTAATCATTAGCTCCTTCCAAACAAAATGAAAGGAGGGCTTTTGTTATGTTGGCTGTATATTCAGGTTTGAAATAAGGGAGTGAAGGAGGGAAAGGGAGAAGAAAAACAGCCTACAGCTGTCAATTGCCTTCTCTTTCAATGTACTTTCTTTTTACCCACCCCCCCTCCTTTTTTCCTACTTTTCACAACTATGTGATGGAACTGGAATGTTTGGGAGACATTAAATTAAATCAGGATTGAAAAGAAGATTTGCTCTTACCTAATGGAGGTGTTCACTAACATACTTTATCACCCAGACCCTCCTCTACCTAGGTCTTCTTTTGTTGCCCAGAACACATTTATTTGCTAAACTTTAAAGTACCAGAATTGGAATCCTACCTGTAAAGTCATGTTTGGTTTCAGAGTTCAGTTCAGGAATAGACTGGCCCTGTTTCCAGGTCCAGTAACATGTGTTCTTCATGTCATAGACTTCACTTAATAGACTTGAATACATCCTCAAAAGGCATACTATTTGAAAAGAGGAAAACCAAATATAGAAAGCATCAAATCAAATAGCAATTGGGCAGAAAAGCTAAGGTTAAAGTTTTAGCTTAGTACTCATTAATTTTTTTATTCATTCATTAAGTGAATAACTACTGTCTAGTCTTTGTGTCAAAACTCACAGATGTCACTTATTCATTTATTCAGTTAGTCAGACTACACATATTTATTGAGAACTTATATACTGCTAGCTAGTAAACCTCTAGTTAGAACTTGTTATAGCCAAAAATTTTATTGAATGTAAGTTGAATAAAAAACACAAAAACAAAAAGTTACCATTATTAAACCCAATAAGAATGTCAAAAAAACATCATGAGCAAATCTGAATAACTGCCTTAATGTCAAATTTCTGTTTATGATAAAAATCTCAAAGTTTTAATTACACGAATCATTAAATCTTTCTCTATATCCTCAGCACATAGGATTTTACTTTGTTGACTTCCAGGTATATTCAATTGAGAATTTGAGCTTTGTTACAAATTAATCAATTGGTTTGGGACTGGAGAGGCATACAGTTGAGAATATGTCTACAAAAACTAAGTCCAGTGTAAATTTAGCACATATGGTGGCAAGTATGATTATTATTTGAATGGCACTACTGAGTATTTTCTTAATAGATTCTTAAAAATCGTTTTTATAATTGTGGATATTTTCTTGACGGATGTTCTTAAGGAGAGGAAAGGAAATTGCCCTTCTGAGTCATTTAGCTAAGTCAAGATATTTTTTATTTTCATATCTAGTGGGAGGCCACAGAGTGAGTAGTGGTAGTGGCATCTGATGGGTAGAGGCCAGGGATGCTGCTCAACATTTTAGAATTCACAGGAGAGGTTCACACAACAAAGAACTGGTTGGCCCAAAATGCAAGTATTACAGAGTTTGACAAGCCCTGCCCTTTAACCATCAGTTTTCCTTTGCCTGGCACCTGGTACCACCCAAAGACATCCACGCCTAACTGGAGATCAAATTAGGTGTTCTGTATAGCAACTCTTGTGCACTGAAGAGTGCAGAAGGTCTTCAAGCTCACTAGTTGTGTGGCTTTCTACCTATTGTTAGCTTGAGCTAATTGCTTAACCTCTTTGAGATCCCTTTCATTTAAAAAAATCTGCATAATATGGACCATAACTAACTCAGTTGTAGTGAGTACTGATTGAGTATATGTGCATACATAAATACTCATTTAAAACTTATCCCTTATTCTTATTGGCTTGCCCATTCTTCCCTCTGTTTCTCCCTTCCGCCTCTCAGCACCCCCACCCCCCTTCCCCTAGTCTCAAGTTTTTTTTTTCCCTTAAAATGCTTTGATTCCTTCGGTGGCAAAAATCAGGTTTGGGCTAGGAAGTGAGTCACCACTCAGCAGCGAAAGGAGCTTGTTTTTCTTTCTCTGAGCGCATTTCTTAATAATTTCAGCCTGATCCTTCAGCGCTTGTTGGTTGAATCCTCCCTGAATGTTTAAGACTGTGACACCAAGATGTTTGCCAATCATTGGGAAGGAGAGTTTTTTAAATATCGAAAATAACCAGAGGGCAGCAAGCCCTGAAATCCTAGGTTACATAAGCAGACGTTGGAGGATTGGAGGAACGGGCTGGTTCCTCTCCATTGATACACCTTAATGCGGTACAAGTCTCAATAGGAGCCCTGGGTGCTGAACACCACAGGAGCAAGGAGCACTTCCCTGTCAAATCAGCGTAGGCTGGATTGGTGAGGGATGGGGCTGGGTGTTGCTGGGGCCGGTAGCACCGCGGCTGCGGAGGCTGCAGGGACTCTGCAGGCTCTAGGCGGAGTGGGTCCCCTTGCGCTCCAGGTCCTGGTCCAGGTCCACCTGGCACTTTGTGCGGCTCAGACGACTAGCTCCCTACTCCTTTGCTCAGCTTAAGAACCCTTCCGTGTGCCCGAACCGTTATTTAGCACCTTTAGTATTAACTGTCACACACAACTTCCCTCACCAAATGTCAATCAAAACCGGAAAATAATCCAATTCCCATTTTCTTCCAAATCTTGCCTCTCGGTCTCTCAGTGTCTCTCTCCCTTTCTCCCTCCCCGCTCTCCCCCTCCACCTGCCCCCCATTCATTTCCTCCCCAACTTTTCCCCATCTGTGGTCTAGATCTCCTTCTCTATTTTCTCCCTCTCTCTCATGCCCTTCTCCACTCCTTCTTCCTCCCCCCACCCATCCCTGTCTCTCCTCCCTCTCGCAGGCAATCGGCTCTGCCCTCTCCGCCCTCTCGGCCCCTCCCCAGAGAAGTGTCCAGCTCCTCCCGGGGCTGCCCGCCCGCCGCTCCTTCCCTGCCCACCTACTATGAGGAGCAGCTCCTCCCACCTGCCCATAAAAGCCTAGTGCATGTTACCAGCAGCGGATCAGAGCACTTCCCTGGTCCTCTCCGTGGGAGCCCGCGAGCCTGTCTCCCTGATCATACGTGTACAAGGTAAGACACTTCTGCAGGCAGTGGACCTACTAGGGGTTCCTGCGGGGGCATTAGTCAGGTCTGGGCAATGCGCTCACTGTTTGGTTAGAGTTAATTTGTATGGATGCCCGATCAGCTGCTGGTTGCTAGTTACAGCAACTGGTTTGAAAACAAACTTCTGTTTGAACAGTGAAATAAAACTCCTTTTCGGTAGAAACAGCAGCATAAATATTACAAAACCCTTTTCTCTTTTTAAATCCCTTTTCCCCTCTTGCTAACTGTTGCTGAGGTTAAACTGTATCTGTTTTGGGGTGTTAATACTGACGTTTTTCATTGTAAATATTTCACATATCAGCAGGGGCAAGAAAAACATTGTCCCATTGTCAAAAATGTACTTTAAAAGAACACAATTAGCTTCCTAAAAATAGCACAGTCAAAAGGTCTGCTAACAATTTTGCCATGTTTTCCAAACCCCCCAAGACAGCTTCTGTGAGTCCTTAAAAAAAAAAAAAAATATCTTTCCAGGTTTAAGTGCTTGGAAAAAATGATGTGAACGGGTGCCCTTTGCACAAGGACAGTAATCAGGTGGCTGGTAGATAGGAAAGAACAAATCCAAATTTACAAGCTGGGGCAGGAAGAGCTCTTACAAAGCTATCTTTTCACCAGGTTTTAAAATGAGAATTGTATTGGGACGAGGAAAGTATATAAAAGAACTTTATGAATTTCTATACACACACCTAAACATAAAGTGATTCAATATGTTTCACAGTAAGAGAAAAATACAGGCCAGATTATACAATACTTCTGTGTACACCAGCCTGCTATAAAGAAAAATCAGCTAGAGTGGATTTGAAAGTTTTAATCCTCCTCACCACCCCTTCTTCCTTCATCTAACAAAACCTACCTGATTGGCAGGGGATTCTCACACAACTAATAGGTGTTTAAGCTACCCTCTGGGAAAAAAACGAATCTGTTCTCCCTAAGGTGGAAAGAGTGTGTGCACCTGTGAGAGCAAACCACCGTCCACTGCTACTTCAGTAAAAGCAAGACTCTTGGTCCATGCAGTTTGCCATTAACTTCTGTGGGTTGTGTGGGATGAAACTCTCTCTCATGTGGGAGAAAAAAACCTCTTCAAATGTTTCCTCTGGGGAATTGCACAAGACCGCTTAGAGAAGGCAAACTGAAGCTGCCAGTCAGGAAACCAAACCACTATTTTGGCCCTTAAGGTTCTTAAAGTAAGAGAAACCCATTCCCTTTTCTTGTTTGGTTGTTGGTTTATATTGTTTCATAGGAGAAGGAAAAACTCACCAAAGCTGTACAAAATTTTCCTCTGTTAAAGAAACTAGAAATCATTGTTAGATATCCCACTGAAGGTCTTTTTAATGCAAAAGATATTTTAAAATTCTGTTTGAGATAGAATGAAGGGATTCACTAGTATTACTCAATGAAAGAGTTATATGTAAAGCTTTCTGTCATGTTCAATTTTTTTTCCATTGGAAAAAAAAATTATTGCAAAGGCGTGTGGTTTCCTTTAAGAAAATGATAAAAGATTGCTATTGACCAAGATTATATGTGACCTGAACATATTAAAATACCTTTTATCTCAAGCCACAGTGCAGATGTCTTGCTTTATATCTGATGTAACTGGCTAATCAACCATGACTGAGCACAGGTATGAAACAAGGCCAAACCAAGTGCCTGATATGTCCAAGTTCTTTCTTCCTTTATAATAGTGTCTGACTCCTGCCCATCATCCCAAGGATGAACATACACCGCTTCATTCACTAGATTCCTTATGTGAAGTTGTCTTTCCCGTGGTAGGGGGAAATGTTCCCAGTGCCAAAGAGCTCCCTGTTATTCCTAAATTTGGGGATGAAAAGCGTTCTCTGGGGGTTTGCTTCTGCTTTTCCTGGCAGTTAGTCCACTGGATCAGCTATGAACCATTTAACAGTAACTGCCTTCCCTATGTGCCATCAGGTTCAACCCCCTAAATAACTAACTGGGTGAGATCATCTTAGATTGTTGGTGATCTAACCTTCCCAAGGGGGCTTTACCAAAATGATTCCTTCCATAGGGCACATATCAAGCAAGTTGGCACTTCCCTTCTTAAGTTTTTAGAAAACTCAGTGGTGAGGTTTCACACCGAAAACCCCAGTATTGCCCCTTCTGCCCAGGATGTAGTAATATGAGTCTCCTGTTTTTTGCCTTTCTAAACTGCCCCTGAGTCAGATTCTTGGCTATACTTACCCAACACCAGTGCAGCAGGCTTTAATTGACTTCTTAACATTTCTCAAAAAAAGAGAAGAGAAGTGGCTGCCCCTTTCAGGAGAGACACAGAAGGGTGCTTTGTTGACTTCCAGGGCCTGCTGTACTTATGGAAACAAACATTTTAAATATTCTATTATTGTTAAAATCGCAAAATATGTCTTCTCCATGATCAAAAAGCATATGCTCCTATATTTCCATTTGAAAGGAAAAAATCAAAGATAGGAGGATGGGAATAAAAAAGGAATTAAGAGTGAAGTTGGAGAAATCACAGAAAAATGATCAGGATCTCTCA